TCCTAGTATCGTCACTTATGGTGTAACCGCGATGTAAGTAGTATGATAAACAAAGCTCAAACCAGGGTGTTGATCGAACGGAAGTTTTCTGTTCATCTATCCGTTTTCGGGATTTGCATGTTGCCAAATTAGTCAACAAGCAGCTCCGTTTGTAACCCTTGCATTTGCTGATTCAAGCATGTGTTGTGTCTACGTGACACGAATTTAGACATCCATTTCAACTATCGCATAGCGTTTTTCGGACACATCCTCATCTGTACACTTGTCTCTGAGTCTGAATCAGTCCGTTTTTCTTTATTCCTAGTGTTTTTATCTTTTAAGAGATTTCCATGTATACATTCACCGCAGTTTTTACTGCTCGTTCGGTGCACAAAATTACGACGAATATTATAATATCTGTTTTAGGGTCGCAATGAACCACGTAGACCGTTAAGCGCAAACATGCGTATCAAGTTGGGGCATTATCTGCTTCGTTCCCGTATAACACTCCCTGGGCCACTGGCTCCAAGCCTGGTAGAGGCAGCACTCTTGGCTCTTGAGTCCGCATCCATTCCACCCATGAGTACCAATGGTCAGCAGCCCCCATCTCAACCACCACCACCGCCACCACCCCCACCACCACAACAGCAGCAGCAGCAATTGCCACAACAGCAACAGGCGCTTAGTTCCGGCAACAACACAATGGAACATGGTCACATGTGTGAAGGGGGTTGTGGTCATGCTCACCCAGCGCCTGTCGTTCCTCCAACTCGCACGACAACTTCAACGGAAGAATCCGGCTCCCCAGGGCCAACTGGTACACAGAACGTACAAAGAAGTGCGGCTGCAACTTATTCGCTCATCCAACAGCGTCGGTTGGCTGAACATGGCTTAGACCTTCTGGCTCATTTGATCAACAAGTAAGCATTTTTGAAGTTTATGATAATGCCTAGCTGCACTAAGTCGTGGCCTAATTCCGGCGATTTACGTATGTTGCTTATTTTTAATGATTTACGTACTTTGATGTCCGAAACAATTCAAGCGCAAGGGATTCTGATCGATTTCTTGCGAATGCATACTCGCAGTCATAGTAAACAATGATCCACCCAATCAAACATTAGTCAGCTATTTCAAACCGTTTTATACATTGCCTGCTTTAGGCTAATCTCTCTGAATAACATAATTTCCTAATTCTTGGTCACTTCCAGCGTAACTGCTTTGAACGGACCCGCATCGGTTGCGGCTTTACGCTGTTTGATCAACTTTGTGTACGAGAAGACAACAGATGAGGTATGTTTGACACATGTCTTATCCAGAAATAATGAGCGTGTTCCATTCGTTCTGTTTCACAAGTTGTTTTCCATTCCGCTTTTCAGTTAACATACGTGCGTGCCAGAGGATTTGAACTATTATCCCGTTTTCTCAGTCGTGATCCAAACTACCTGCTAAAGGATCCGGCTCAATTGCCACGTTTGTTCAACGTCTTGTCTGAGGTCAGTGCACTCGAAACGAGTATCAGTTTGCTGGGTCAAACCATTTGAACCATATTTTACTAGTTGTGAATGATGAAGCTTTCACTCTATCGGAAATGGCTTTTATCGAAGCTTGATTCATTCGTTCTACCATAGCTTTAGGACAAAAGCTGTTTTAAGGAAAAAATGTGTTCAGTAAACATGCGACAGCATAATTCGGTCAATTTTTGTGCGTTTGAGACTTCGTAGCCATCTCATTGTACACGAACCACCGTAACACACTGTAAGTGTTTCCTGTTTACGGAGTTCTGCTTTTCCACTTTGTAGCATCAATTGACCTACTGTGCCGGAAAGTAATGCACCTAGATATGATCTCTTCTTGTTACACTAATCTGCATAACGATTGAATCATGTTATTAAAGTGCAGAGAATATAATTGCGGATTGTTGATATAACTCCAAATGCTTTGTGGTTTATTTTACCGGTTCTGTTAAGCCTTAAGGTTTTCTCTATGTCAGCCGAAAAATTGTTTCGTAGGCTATGAGTAAATATCTGGCACTATGCAGAGCTATTTTTCCTTTTTTGGGTTTATCTAAACAATCATGGTTGGTTTTCCTGGGTAACCATGTATTCAAATGCCATTGTGAATGGTAAGGTGCTATTACGCATATCACCATATTTCTCTTGTGATTTGCATGGAATTGTCTCTCTGTTTTTATCGTTTTTCTAATAAAAAACTACTCTTCACCTTACACATTAGGATAACCCAACGGAGTTAAAGTTGGCCGCTGCTCATTGTCTACGACGATTGGCAATCACATTTCAAGATGCCCAACGCCAGAATTATCCTGCACTGAGAGGACAACTGAGCAAATTGGAACGCCTTTTGTATGAAAACATTGAGAAGGTTTGTTTCTGTCATTATTATTATTATTATTATTATTATTATTATTATTCATTTCATACGTGTCAGAGTCCAGACTGTGTCAAACAAATCATGGTACAACAACCTTTGTAACAAGAGATCAGTCCACAATTTGTTCCTGTTCGAATACTCCCAGGTTGCTGTGGTCAAAGCGGATGAGGTTTTTTTTATGGGTGGAGGGAGGGAGGGAGGGAGGGGTGGGTGGGTAATAATCCACGGGGCGCACGGGGCGGTGTGTCAAATCCGTAGTCCACTGATGACCGGTGTCCAGTTTTTCAAGTCATACATTCTTTGTATATTGTCAAGCGCCCCAGGTGCCCAATCACCCTAGAAACCCAATCAAGCCGGCCACCACTGTCATGTTTGGAATGAATGCTTGGTTCATAAGTAGCACTTCACTAAGGAATATATATATATAAAGTTGTTTCTCTATCTTTGAATACCCAATGTAAATCACTGAACTCTTCTCGGTACCAGGTCATCGGAACTTGTTTTAGTGATACTCGGAATCGTTGCACTTAATTACCCTATTTGCCCGTCTAATAACCAATGAAATATTTCATTTTCTTATTTTTTTTCTTGCCTGGGGTCGGATTAAGTAAACCTGAGCATAATGCAGACATTTTTATAAAAATAAAATCATTCCATGATTTGTTTATTAGCGCAATGCTGTCTTGTTTACCAATCGGGAGCACGTGTTATTAAGCTAGTTCGCAACCAGATCCTTTGACTGTTCTGTTGACAACATCGTCGCTACCCCAAGTTGTTGACTAAGATCTGTCCTACTTAGCGACACTCATTCTGCAAGAGCTTCTAAGGCATTAACCAGGCGTTGCTCATCCTAGGGGGAATTGGGAATTTTTATGAGCAAAATTTCGATTCATTCTGTTTTCCGCGTTTGTATTCACAGACAAGCAGGGAATGTCAATTATCGTGCTTGGATAGGTAGCATAGTTTTTGTGATCGACCAAAGTTGGTAACAGCAATAGGTTAAACAAAAAGAAAACATTTCATCAACTTATCTCTTTGGGGATTTTTAGGGTCTCTGATTGGAACACTGTTTTGAGCAAGTCGCACTGATACTGCATACAGTTGACAATATGAAAAATCAAGGCCAAATCCAAAATTTGCACTCTAAGGTTACATTTACTTATGCGTGCGATTTGCCTATTCTTCGTACTGTTTCGTGATATTTGTTATAACATACGTAATTGACAGTCGTTTTAACGGGTGTCTATTCTCACCAGTTGTAACTCTGTGCACTATCCACAATACTCTACTCCTAGTTCCTGTTTATGTGAGTATGTATAAATCATTCATATTACATATTAGAACCCATTAAAATTTACCGTCGTAGATAGAAACCTTGTTGGCAGATCCAGACTTGTATTGTCACTTCAGGGGTTCACAGAACCGGAATTCGCTATCACTTAGTGTCAGAATGATGGCCTTACTACTGTACACATCGGTCATCAGCTTGTAGCCCACGAAATTGTTTCCCCACTCTGTATTTCTGCTATGTATGTGCAATCCGCGCGAACGACAATTTATCACAATTATTAAATTCCATTTTTGTCTGAGTTCAGACTGTGGTTGGCTGGACGAAGTAGTTATTCGAAAGATAGTCTAAATCAATCATAAACTTATGCCACACTTCTACTCACAAGTGACGGAGTTAAAATAGGGGAAATACAATCTAGTCCTATTTCTTCATCTTTGTACTTTTCTGGTGTGATCTCCCTCTCCTTGTAGCCTGACCCTCTGTGCCGGTTGGTCGCAGTCAATTTCGCCGGTTTGATTTATCCATCGGATCATATTCCCACACGATATCTGATTCTACAAGCGCTTGGGGACAAGTAAGCCATGCGATTTTTATCGTCCCCTTCCACAGTTGTTCACTATTAGTATTAGTGCATCCAGTGCAAAATCTGCTCAACTCAGATCTTTTGGTTCCATAATTCAATGGGCTGTCAAAGTGGTTTCATAATGGAGACTTTAGTATCTATTCTGTTGTTCATTTTCATAGGTTATNTTTTGTTACTTTTTTCCAATCTTCAGCGAAAATGT